TTGAGAAGAGGCCAAAAAGTTCGTCATTTTCTTTTTTCTCTTTTCTACGAAGATTTTTACATTACCTCAATGGCACTTACAATATCCGTGGGTTTACGTAAACTCCTAGTTACTCCTAGCGTTTCGGTTCGATTCAGAGTTCTTCTGAGATTGTCCACCTCTTTAATGGATGATCTATTGTGGTAGTGCGCCCCAAATATACGAGGCCGGCCGCCTAAGACTTTAACTTTAAATAACCACGAAACGGCCTAAGTTTACTAACAATTAAAGCCGAGCAAATGCGCGTAGAGTCGCAACCGCGCTCCGCTATGCATGAGGAGTTGAAATGGTGCCTCACCATTTTTTGAATTTTTGATAAACCAATAATCTTAGGTTCTGTTAGATCAAGTCTTGATGGAACATGATCTGCTGTCGATTGTGTTCAACATGATTGATTGCTCCGCATTCGCCTGGTATATTGCATCAATGCCGGTGAAACCTTTTGCAAGCATTTATATGCATCTTTCTCATTTGTTTGCGTTACCTTGATTTTTTTTCTCTAGAAAATTACACGAAAAAATACAAATAATTCTCTTAGACCTGAGAATTTCTCTTCTCAGTCCTGAGTCATATAAGTCATTATTTCAAACTATTTTACTCGAATTAATACGTAAAATCAGAAACAATGAGGAGAGGTAAAAGGTAGTTGTTAGAGAATATAAACTACAAGAATACCTCTAGTCATAAATACAACCATATAAAGATACTTTTTAAGAAGAAAAGGAGTTTGTATTTATTTTGATTCTCAAAAGCAACCCGTACAAAATCTGTTGCAGTGTATGAAATCATGTCGACCACGGTTCACTGACTGTTCCACAATATTTTGCATAGTTGGCAAATTTTTCATACTTTGATCCTAGATCTTTTGGTGTGGGATGATGCATGCATGTCATCACCTGAATCAGGATATTGGCTATACTACAGGGCCGATATAAACTATTTCCAAAAATTGCTATCAATCTTACCAGGTTGGATATGCTATGTGATTTCTTTAAGATACAGTTCTTGAAAACCGATTTGTATATGCGTAGCAACTGAAAAGAAATTTGCATAAGCACATCAGAGAGTTGAAAGCCACTGTACCTCTCTAGCAGCTTCATCATATCTATGTTGAGAACTGAGGATGTTCACTATAAGCGCACCTAAATTTTAATAGATTAGTTCCAAGTAGAAGCTATAATACTCCTTTACTATGTAGTAATGTAAATAAGTAATATGAAAAGATCAAAACTGATGACGTAGACAAATTTTTTGTAGCTTTTCTCTAAATGGCTAGGCAATCTGCCTCAGCCTCCAAAATAATAGTTTCATTAACATTTAACCATCTTTTTTAATCTAAGAGACAATTTAAGTTTTTGTTGCAATGGTAATACTTTCCCATATACAATTGCTTAATTATTTTCCACTTAGTACTTCTTAAACTGCACACTCAGTGTTAATTATTTATAAATATCTAAATTGATGTTAGAAATCTACACAAACGCGACGAGAATTTTTAAATTATTAATTGATATTTATTACCTCATAGTGGAACTTACCATTTCTATTCAAGAGTTTACTAAAATTCTTTGCCATATTGATCCCCACAAATGCATCAGCAGGGCAGATGAACAGTGGCGCGTTATCTGGTCCACATGCATCCAAAAGTATGACATCGTATTTCTCACCTGTAATTCCTTTGGTTTTTAGCGAATTTATCTAGTTTACTTGTTGTTTTCACTCCTTGTTTTTCCGCAAAGTAAATCAAATGTGGAAACTCGTTCTTATTTTTTTAAACTTAGTAGAGAGTTTAATAAAGGTTAATCCGTTGTTCTGCCGTAAATTGTTTCCGGTCTCTGACACCTAAGCGCATTGTTGAAAAGAAGACCAAAATTTGGTGAATAGGAGATTTTTCTGGTACAAGACACTCACAAATTGCTTTATAAGCATAGCTTGCATCCTTATCTAGTAAGTCAAATGGATCAGCCTTGTAAACCATTTCAGAAGTTATGCCAAGAGTCAAAATGTTGTCAGACGTACCTTTTGTTGCCGTCTGCTTCAAAAAATCTAAACCATCCGCTAAAATCACTCGGTGCATGTTGTCTAATTTCAGATTGAACCATCTCTTTGAAATGTTCAGCATTTGGGGATCGTATTCGACAACTGTTATGTTCATCTAAAACTAACTTTATGACTAAAGATTTGTCTTTCTAACCTTTAACTTTTACTTACATTAGGATAGTTATGGTGCAGATATGAATTCAAATTTCCTCCTCCGAGACCCAATGATAGCACCTTAGCAGAAGCTTGTTGGGTCATGTCGACTGTACCGCTGATGAACATTTCCTCTAAAAATGCTGCTAAGCTAAGTAAATGTTTGTCAAGAAATAACTTTTTTGATGCCGTTGATACTTTATATCCAAATTTCTATTAAGGGAAAAATATTGGTAAAGGATAACGCAGTTCTGAAAGGATAAAGCAATAGATTGTGATAAAATTTATTCAAGGGAAAATGTAGGAGTTTCAAAACTTTTGAAGTGTAAATAAAGCAATAAGTAGCGCAAACAAAAGCCTTCCTATTCGGATATTTTGGAAATTTTCAGTAATAGAAATTTATATTTCACTTTCATATTAGTGTCCTCCAAACTGATCTCCTATCTTCCATTTCAAGGTTTCATATATTTTACAGCCATCACTTTCTACTCAAAGATAGTTTTAATGCTTTCATGTACAAAAGTGCTATTAAGTAAAGTTCACTGCGCACTTAGTGTAATGCACATTGTCAGTCTAGACAAAACATCT